CAGTTTATACTTTAGTTTTTATGTAGTTTATACTTTAGTTTTCTACGTGGTTGTTGAGTAACTGCAGCTACATATCATTAACATTCCTTTCCTTTGTTACTGCTAATCCCTGCACCCCCCCCCCCCTTGGTGCTGCTGATCCTGCATAATGCATGGGCATAATATGACTTTGAAACCCCCCCGCCCAACGCCTACGCATTTTCCATGAATATGCTAAATTCCTCTTCATATGCACATTCTTTTTGTTAAGGCGCTCTTCCATCTCCAACGCAGCTTATATATAAGCTCCTAGTTTGGTAGTGTCTCATTCTTCACCTGAAGACGGCTGCTTGCGTTGTAGCCGAAACGTCGTGAGAATTATTTTATTTTATTATGTTTTATTTTTATTATTGTATTACTTCCCTTCTACGTGACTTTACCAAAAGAACCAAGAAGATGAATCCCTGCAGTCACGAAAGCTTTAAATCGAAATATAGTATAGTAATTGTATAGTCAATATACGGCAGTGTGATATACATTAGGGTGGGTAGAATAATACATAGTGTAAGATTACAATGTATAAGGCAATACAGTATGTAATTTAATGTTGGGTTTGTCTATGGCAGTATATATTACGGTGTAGACTCGTGTGATGTAAGAGAATAAAGTTTAGATGGAAGCATATTATATATTTTTTACGACGTAGAATTGTAATGTATTACTTACTGTTAGTAACTCAGCTTATTGTAGAGTATATTTAGTATACTGATGATACTATGTAGTTTATACTTTAGTTGTTTACGTGGTGGTTTTAGTTACTGCAGCTACATACTATTAACACTCCTTCCCTTTATTAATGCTACCCCTATCCCCTCCCTTTGATGCTGCTAATCCTGCATAATGCACGGGCATAAGTAGTACTAATCACATACCTGCATTTCCCATATCCCCTCCATTTGATGCTGCTAATCCTGCATAATGCACGGGCATAAGTAGTACTAATCACATACCTGCATTTCCCATATCCCTTCCCTTTGATGCTGCTAATCCTGCATAATGCACGGTCATAAGTAGTAATAATCACATACCTGCATTTCCCATAAATATGCTAAATTCCTCTTGATATGCATATTCTTTTGTCAAGGCGCCCTTTTCCCCCCTTCCAACCCAGCTTATATATATGCTCCAAGCACGTGTGCCGTTTCATTCAGACGCTGTCGCCTCGACAGACCTGGTTTTCACCTGAGGACGGCTGCTTGCGTTGTGGCCAAAACATCGTGAGAATTGTTTTATTATGTTTTATTTTTATTATTTTATTACTTTCCTTCTACGTGACTTTACCGCAAGAACTAAAGAAGACTTGGAGAATATCTGCAAAGAGGAGTGGGACAAAATCCCTCCTGAGATGTGTGCAAACCTGGTGGCCAACTACAAGAAACGTCTGACCTCTGTGATTGCCAACAAGGATTTGCCACCAAGTACTAAGTCATGTTTTGCAGAGGGGTCAAATACTTATTTCCCTCATTAAAATGCAAATCAAGTTATAACATTTTTGACATGCGTTTTTCTGGATTTTGTTGTTGTTATTCTGTCTTTCACTGTTCAAATGAACCTACCATTAAAATTATAGACTGATCATTTCTTTGTCAGTGGGCAAACGTACAAAATCAGCAGGGGATCAAATATTTTTTTCCCTCACTGTAAACCCAAAACCCTATAAACCCCTAACCCTCTGAACCCCTTTACCCTTAAACCCCTTTACCCTGAAAACCCCAACCCTCTAAAAGCCTAAACCTCTAAACCCTTCACCCTTTAAACCCCTATACCCCAAATAGCCTAATCCTCTAAACACCTAACCCTCTAAACCCCTTTACCCTGAAAACCCTAACCCTCTAAACCCCTAACTCTCGAATCCCCTCAACCCCTGACACTCTCAACCCCTAAACCATATAACCCTCGAAATCCCGAAACATCTAAACCCCTTAACCCTGAAATAACCCGAAACCTCTAAACCCTTAACTTTATAAATCCCTAACCCTCTAAACCCCTAACCCTTTGTGTGGAATGTGGTGGGGGTGGGATCATGAGGTGGGCGGGTGCAGGGTGTGTGTGGTGTGTGTGGTGTGCGGTGGGTGGTGGGTATCACAGGGGGGTGAATGGGTGCAGGGTGTGTGTGGTGGGTATGGTGATAGTGGTCGTGGTTCACAACGATCCGTGACCACCACCACCACCTCTACTGTGTGGTGGACCGGCCACCACACAGCAGCACGCGTCGGAGGAGTGAACGGATGGTTCTCCCTATGCGGGCCAGACTCCCTGGCTTCCTCTTCTCCTCTTGCATCACCTGATCCTCTTTCCTTGTCATCTCCTTCTCCACCATCTTCTCCACCAATGTCTCCTCCACCTGCACCACCATCTCATCCTCCTGCTCCTTCGTCCATACCTCCTCTGTCTACCCCCTCATCTCCTCTTCTTCCTGCACCACCAGCTCCTCCACCAGGGTCTCTTCCTCCTGCACCACCAGCTCCTCCACCAGGGTCTCCTCCTCCTGCACCACCAGCTCCTCCACCAGGGTCTCCTCCTCCTGCACCAGCAGCTCCTTTACCAGGGTCTCCTCCTCCTGCACCAACAGCTCCTCCACCAGGGTCTCCTCCTCCTGCACCACCAGCTCCTCCACCAGGGTCTCCTCTTCCTGCACCAACAGCTCCTCCACCAGGGTCTCCTCCTCCTCCTGCACCACCAGCTCCTCCACCAGGGTCTCCTCCTCCTGCACCAACAGCTCCTCCACCAGGGTCTCCTCCTCCTCCTGCACCAACAGCTCCTCCACCAGGGTCTCCTCCTCCTCCTGCACCACCGCTCCTCCACCAGGGTCTCCTCCTCCTGCACCACCAGCTCCTCCACCGGAGTCTCCTCTTCCTCCACAACAACCGTCAGCCATTTAGAGGCCTGGGCGAGCGCGGAGGATGGGGGCAGCGCCGGCTCCGCTCTGTTAAGAGATGCGCACGACACCGTTCCAACTTCTTGCTACAACAGAGATTGCACCCCCCCCCCACCATCGTGCGGAAATAGATTAACCAGGTTAATAACGATGCTGCAGTAACGCAGCATACCTTTGCCCATCGTGGGTCTGGTTACAAAATGGGCATTAGTCTTGCGATATCACACTGGATGAAAGGCTACATGGCAAAGATATGGCTGCTTCATTATTTGTCCTCACCCAGAAACCAATTATAAAAATACATCCGTATATAACCGAATGTACACGTGGGGTTTGAACTGTACATGTGTTCGTTTGCAGGCAGCAGGGCTGGAACTCAGTCAGAGGGACCTGGGTTTGATGCCCAAACTTGGGCCACTTTCTCCGTGTGGAATGTGGAGTGTGTTCTACCCCCCCCCCCCCCCCCCGTTTTATCCTGCATTGGTTTCCAAAATCAGAATAAATTATTTAGACTGGATGAAGAGGAATCCGATAAGCTATGAAGCTCTTCTTTCACAGATATGCAGTCGAGGCACAGGGTCAGCAAGTTACAACAACAAACAAAAGAAAATGAGTGCAACGTGTAAAAATGTAAGCAAGTCACAAAATAATTGAGCATATAAGCACAAAGTACGTAAAATCCTGCCAGTTTTTCAACACTAAATACAAACTTGGGCAAGGCAGCAAAACATCAACAAAAACAGCCCCAGACCTCACCACAACACACAGTCCCTCAATAAAATTGTACATTAAAATGTAACTTTCATTCCTTGGGGTTTGGCATTTTCCTCCACGTAACCGAACCCTGACACACACGCCACACATCCTCGGCAGTGTTAGAAATTGAACCCCCAAATCACTCAATAGGAATCGCATAGCAGCAGTAGCAAAAGCACATTTGTTCTGTACTGCAAACAACTTGGCAGGACTCTAATTAAAAAGAGTCTTGAGACTGAGTGAGGCTCATGCTGGCTAAATAAGGGTAGTAGTAATCAATATAGAGCCGGGTAAGGTGTACTGGGGAAACCGCCCCGGGCAGCATGCTTCTGGCGGCCCTGTGCTTCGATGTCACGGTGTCAGACGTAATGTCTTTTTAACACGTAGGCTTTCGTACCAGATTGGCTCACAAATGATGACATCACATTTATCACTTCTTAAGAGCGAAACGGGAGTATTTTTCCATAATTCTGGCCGTCACCTTATGAGGCTGGTTGCAATCCCTGGCAAAATGTCGTACTCGAATTGTAAAAGTGGTGGGTTTACTTTCCAACACACTGGTGTGCTGATCTAGTAACTAATTGTCACATTTTGTTTACATGATACACCTTACTAATTGGCTGTGTTGGGTGATGGTGGGTTTAACAACACACGTATATCTACGCGATCTAACAGAAACAAACCTGTATTATTAGTAATACTTCCGGTTTAATTGTGACTTGCCCCGGGCTCCACACCTCCCTATGGACTGTCTTGAACATTTGACAAGCAGATTGTGGCTTACCGTCGCTCAGCAGCTCCAAAACACTGTACACTGCCAGGAGTAGCAGTGGTGGTGGCGTTGCTGGTGGTGCTGGTGGCCGCGGTCCGGAGCCAGCTGTGACCCAGCGCCTGCGCTGGCGTCATGCGACAATCCGGATCCCATCTGTTGAAAGACACACGGGGGTCACACGCGGCGCACATGGTGAGAGAGGCGTGGTGAGGGCATTGACGTTCCTTCCATTCTCCCACGAGGTCCAGGAACGCACGGCAGCAGCGGTGGTCGTGGTAGCAGCGGCAATCCTTCAATACGCAGTACTCTAAAAATGCCCTGAGCCTCGCACTGCCGAGTAGAATCTTTAATGAACCTCCAAAGAGGGCGATCTTAACACCGGTGGTACTGGTCATCGGCAGATTCACTCAGCTCCAAATCTTCCTGGTGATCGGATGAGAGCGATCGTTGATCACCTTGGTGGGGGAAATCCTCATGGGGAAGGGGGAGGGGGGAGGGGGGAGGCGGATGATTCTTACCGCAGGCAGGAGCTAACGAATTCAACAAACTCCAGGTCTTGGCTATTGAGTGCCCCGTGAAGTGACAAGCTCCCTGGCACCCTTCTCTTGACTGGGCAGAACATCATGCCCACACGATCTGCAGGAGACATGCACAGCAGGAGAGACAGTCACCAACCACCACTTTGCCCACTTACCCACCCACCCACTCTCCCACACACCCATTTACCCACCCACCCACTCACCCAAGGAATTGAAAATACAAAGAGGCCCCCCCCATGGCCACCCCAACAGCTCCAGGCCACACCCTAACACTGAATCGGTCGGTTACTCGCCCCACCCTTCAACTCACCAAAGTAGTGTATTCCGTCAGGAGCTGCATCCATCATACATCTTGGAGGCAACCCGAGGATCTGCACATGGTTGAGATAAAGGCAAAGGTCACCCATGTAGCTGCAGCAGACTAGGGGCAAGTGCTTATAGTAGTGAGTAGAAACAGCAGCAACAGTAGCGGCACCTGTTGAGGGCCAGGACTGTAGCACAGGTACACACCGCACCAGGTACTCATTTGAGGCTGAGTCGAACTCGGTGATGCCCAGTACCGGTTCAGATAATCCTCACTGATGTTGGCCGTGATTTGGAATCAAACTCGCATTACCGGGTTTGTAGCTGAGCACGTGAACCGCTGCACCACTGCTTCCCCCACACGTACAAGACACACGTGTACACACATACAACATACGATGGCTGCCATTCGCCAGGTCACTAAGTACCCAATCGCCCCCCCCCCTCTCCTACCTCCCCCCCCCCCCCCCCCCCAGAGCCTACAACTGGGTGAACGCCCAGTTGGAAATACCTCCATGCAGCACGGGAGGTGGTCGTCGCGGCTGTCCGACTGGAATAATTCCCTGCCGGTCACCAACTCCGCCACCTGGCAGCCCAGTGCCCACATGTCCACTGCACAGGTCAATCTGTAGCCCAGCAATACCTCCGGAGATTGGAATGGCAGGGTACCACCAACATGCAGAGCTGCACAACAATCACAACAACAAATATGTATGTGTGTACTCACTATATCATGAACAGCATCGTTATCACACACTGTCACATGTACAGACACTAAGAGACTTGCACACACACTGGTACACAGACACACCCACACGCAGAAACTCACACCCAGGTGAGGTTACTCACGTTGACGTTTCACAAAAAAGCTGGTGCCAAAGTCCGTGACCCTGATGGTGCCGGTCACGGTGTCCTTGATTAGAACATTTTCCTAAAGCAAGAGAGGCAGAAGGAATTCACACTCGAAGGTTACACCAATAGCATTCATCCAGCAGTGGATCAATCACGTACCACAGTGCATACTAAACAGGGGAACTAGGTGAGGCGTAGCGCCGTCGTCAACCTTTAGTCAAGTGCAACATTCCCTGTTTTCTGACAGCTGCCACTGGGGGTGCCCCTTTCAAATGCGTCAAGACGAGCCATGTTCGTCGAGGCTCATCACATGTAAAGCTCTCTGAAGCACCATCTAAGTAAGAGGGTGCGGCTCTATAGACAACTTATCCTAGTTGCTCACAGCTGCCCGTTAACGAGTTATGAACCAAAAACCACACTCAAGGGCGCACGGATTTAGTGACGATTTGGGAAGTTTTCCATTCACAGCATGGAAGCCGACAATGGGCACCTGTCAGTTCAAACGCGTGTTTGGCACGTTTTGAAAATCATTCTTTTCAGCTCCGGTTTGTGTTTCCCAAAGTTTGTGGCAACGCTGTGATCTACATTGCTGGTTTTCTCTGTGGCGAGTCCCCCAATAGCGACACGACTCTACACGACAGTTTAATTCATACCGGATCATTACCAGAGGTAACGTGACCCTGTCTCCTTCCAGATAGACGGACAGAGCTAACACATCGACCCTGTGACCAACGTGGGCGGTTTTCTCTATGGTCCGAGTCCCCAATAATGACACAACTCCGGAACAAAGTCGCGCTGAATGCTGTGTCCACTCACTGGCTTGATGTCCGCATGGATGATGCTCCTGGCCTTGGTGTGGCAAAGGAACTTGAGGATGCCCCTGGTGTAAGTTTTCACCATCCCATGTGCAATTGCCGGAGCCCCGCTTCCTTAATCACATCATGGAGGCTCTCCCTGTGAAAGAGGCAGAAGCAACAACAATTACAACAACGACACAGTGTCAGTGTCATACCCTGCAATACTGCGTGGATTATGATAACGACAATATTAATATTCTATTTGCACATTCACGACTAATATGAGTCATAGTGGGTTTAGGTCATTGGTTTGCTGATAAACCGAAGCAGCTAGCACATCTGACCACTTGCTTTCATTGGCTCTGTTTCCGGGTGGTGGAGTTATCTATTAGGAGATACAAACTCCACGCAGAAAGGCGTCCGTGTTGAGAATCAAACTCAGGGATTTTCACCGAGGGGCACAAGCGTCACCACTGCGCTGCAGCCAACCTGCTGATCGAGTGGAGGCGTGGCTATATAAAAGTGGGCGGCACTGATTGAGAAAAGAGGAGTGGCCTCTAGTGCACCTAGGGCACATGCCAGCTCCACAGTATCGCAATGCGAGGTTGGCACGGGAATCCCAAAAGTAACATTTAGCCCCGGTGGTGTGATGTTATCACCCCCCCTGGTGTGGAAGAGATCGGGGCTTTGATCCTGACCCTGACGCATGTATATTCTGAGTTTGCATGTTCTCCCCCTGGTCACGTGGATTCTTCTCCGGGTCCTCTGGTTTTTCTCTCGACATTTAGAAACACGTGTTTAGAGTGTTTGGCTGCCATACATTTCCACATTAGCCACTTTTTTGAGCTATCATTTGTAGCCAGGCCGCTTGTGAAAAATAACTAATAGAGCTGTGGGCTTTACCTGCTAAATAAAATAGTTTTTGTTTAGCTAATGAAGTTAACCACGCCAGGGGGGGGGGGCGGTGGGAACACATGGTACGTACTTCAACAGCTCCAGGACAATGCAGTGGTGTCCTCTGAAGTCAAAATGGTTCAGGGCTTTGACGACGTTGTAGTCCTCATCACTGCCCTCGCCCTGAAGTTCCAGAGCCATCTTGATCTCCATTCTCTGAGATTTATCACGCTTGGAGCTGTGCAGAGAAAATCCACAAATGAATCATGACGTAGACTTGCTTAAGAAATGACCAGAAACAAATTATATTCAGAATTAAATAATTATACCTTCCCCAAGTGTAATGTCATTGTAAGTTCCAGTAGCGCGCTCATGGAAGGTTCCAGAAAGGATAGGGAAGAGGATAAAATAAGCAAGGGATAGAGGGGGTTTGGGGTGCTGACTTAACGTAGTGATTCCCTAATGTGTGAATTGAGCCGACTCCGAGCATGGCCCCAGCCACACTCAGGATTTCCAGGAGCTGAGCCAAGCCACGGCTGAGCCACTCGTGTATCTTTATCAGCAGCTGAGTGGCTCAAGCCTGAGCCAAACCACGGCTGAGCTGTAGCTGAGCCTGAGTTTTAGAGACTGAGCCATAGCTGATTCGTGACTGAATGTGGCTCTCACAAAGGAACATCATGGGACCTCCTTTGCCAATACCAAAATATGAGAATAGATTTTCCCCTTTTTCCTGGCAACAAAACAGGTGTTAAGATGTAACAAAAAACTGAAACCTTTTACAAGAAATCATGTCTGAATTAACCACAATACTTGTGGTCAGTATGCAAACAAAAAACATACTCTGATAATATATGCATTGTCTTTTAAACTGATTGGTCCACACCAGACAGCTTTCTGTTGAGTCTAGTCTCAAAACGGTGTTAAACCAGAGGACGCCAAAAGGCGTACAGCACAAAGACAAACACTATCGGAGGAATGAGAGCTCGGGTTGAGCAGCGACATCATGGGACCTCCTTTGCCAGTATATTTTTGGTACTGGCAAAGGAGGTCCCATGAACACGCCCGTTATGACATGGGACAACCTCATTAAAGCGTGGAACGTGCCTTTTATTGCGTGGAACGTGCCTTTTATTGCGTGGAACGTGCCTTTTATAGTGTGGAAGGCTCCCGTTATAACACGGACCGCACCCATTAGAATCCGGAATGCATCTGTTCTAATGCAGGAAAGCGCCCATTATAACGTGGAATGTGCCCGCTATGAAACTGCACGGCTGAGCGGTATGATACAGTAGGCGGAATGATAACGTGACGTGACAGCATACCCTCCATTATTGGTCTCTTCATATCACTGTGTGCGTGTATTATATCTTGCAAAACTTTATCGTTACATTATATATGGGGATATGTTTGCTTAATGTGCTTTCCCTTAACGCGGCACTTTTCAGGAATGCATCAACCAGGTGAAATGAAGAATTAATGTAATGTAAGAGTGAACTGATCCAGAACAGGGGGAGAACATACAAACTCCACACAGGAGGGCACCCGAGTCAGGAGTCGAACCGGGGACCCTCTGTGAGACACGAGTTGTCACCACCTCATCACACGGCCGCCCACAGCAAAGGACTGAACAACAACGTCGTCCTTGTGACAAAACCGCTCTGAATTCTTACCTCAATGGTGATACCAAGATCTTCACGGCCACCAGGGTGTTCCTCATGTGGTCAAGGCACCGGATCACCTGGCCTTGACCTCCTTCCCCAATCTTCTTCAGCACCTCATAGCGGTAGTGGAGGTGCTCATGCTGGACCTGCACCAAATTACAATCATTTAGACTGACTATATTTTGAAAATCACAACATGTAAGAAGTGTGAGCATTATTTTACGAAATAATTGTTTTATTAAGTGTTTGGTTTTCTTAAATCTGTAATTGTGGAATGCTCTGATGTCTGCTGGCTGTGACACCCTTAAAAAAGCTCATTAGCTCAATGGGCTTAACTTGGGAAATAAACTTGATTGTGAAGTGTGTGGGAGAGTGCATGTGTGCTGTCTCTGGTTGGTTGGTACTTCAGGTGCAATGACAAGAAGCCACGAACCTCGCGACCGCGGCGCCTGTGACCGCCCCACGGTGGGGGCTTTGTGGCGAGTCTCACCAGAATGTAATGATGTTCGTGGTCGTCGTATCCATCGTTGTTTGGTCCCCGGGATCTGTTGCGGAGCGCAAAGTACCATACTTCCTGTATGGCGGCAAGCTCCAGCTTCTCCCGGTGAGTCATTTGAGGGCCAAAGAGAGCCAGGATTGCTGCAGGCAAGAGAATAACAACAACAGCTGTCGGTGATCATTTGTTTAGATTCCTTTTCAGGAGGTTCCTGCAGATGATTTACAGAGAATGGGGGTGACGCTGCTGCCATTACGTCTCCTGTGTGATCCCAATTTGAGGAGTTTGCAGGGGACTTGGATGTTTTGGCCAATTCCAGTTATGTCTGTATGTTGAACTTATTTTGCACCATGCTTCGGCAACCCTGCTAATCAGAAGTGAGGGGGAAGGACAATAAACTAAAAAGTTCGCAAAAATTATAGATTTAAAAGAGCATCGCTCCAGTGGCTTCCTAATGTCGGAAGAGCATTCCAGATGACTGCCGAAGCACATCTGAAAACGTGCGATGCAGTGACCATCTTCGTTCGATGTCCAGCTATATGCAGCTTTGATGACGTCTTAGGTTGCTTGGATTTGACAACGGGGTTAATGAATTAGATAAATATAACACAGATATGCCAAGGATTTTATGAAAAAAGAATAGCTTTTACCCTTCCTGGCACAAAAACAGGTGTTAATATGTTCAAACACCAAATAGATACCTTTTGCAAGGCATCACGTCTGCATTTACCACACGTACTTGTGGAAAAATATGCAAACAAACATGCTCCGATAATATATGCATTGTCTTTGAACTTGACTGGCCTGCACCAGAGACAGCCTTTTTTATGACCTTGTCTCGCCGGTGTGAGACCAGAGAATGGCAAAAGTCGAACGGTACATCACCCATGCAACATGGCCACCATGAAGTCCCCCATGCATCATGGTCACTGTCACGTCCCCCTTGAAACATGACCGTCGTGATGTCCCACCATTCAGTGTGGCCATCTTGACGTCACTCATTTCTGTTCTTACCTTGTGGCGACTTGCTGCGGATGGAGGCGGTGCGCGCTGAGGACAGCGCACTCCGCGTGGTGCAAGACTCGCCGTTACTCCGAGCCTCTCCAGCTCGGCTGATCTACACACACACACACAAAAAGGTCCTCCACTAGAGCTTGAGGAGTGAGTGGGACTCGGGCAGGACGAGCCATGGCCAGGATGGACAACAATGGCTGACAGTCAAGAATAATAACAGCGACAACCAAGGAACGGAACACATCAGAGAGGAGAGCCGCCAGAGAGATGGTGCGACGAAACCGGCGCTTGGCGGATTATTCCATCACAGGATGTGAGGGGTAGCAGGGTCTCAGGGAGCAAGGCGTTCATCCATCAGTGGATAGATAACAGTGCTGTAGATGCTCACACGTAGACGGGCATGTACACCAACAGGATCTCGGAGAGACACTGATAGACGCACACACACTCAGGCGGGCAAGGAGAAGCACATCCAGGTATACACGTCACAGGTAGGCACACGCAGAGGGGAGAACACACGTCCACCCATACTTCACCACACAAGTCGAGGAGCCACATGTACCTCCATGGTAGCAACTTGCAGACGAGGGTGCTCAGAGCTCACGGTGTCTCTCGCGCGGTCCGGGTCTCTGCGTGGAGAGCGGGAGACAGAGGCGAGGGTCACAGAGTCGAAGGGGCGTGACACGCCCACGTCTGAACACACGTCACTTCACAATGCGGACTCTCATCATCAACACAGACTCACATCCTCACCAGTCACCCATAATACGAAAAACACAAAAAGCAACAACTGCCTTTCCTCAGCATGCCTGGCAAGGCGGTGTTGAATAATCCTTGCCAGGACCTTTCCCGGCACACCGAGGAGTGAGATGCCCCTGTAGTTGTTACAGTCTGTGCGGTCTCCCTTCTTAAAGATGGGGACCACCAGGGCATCCTGCCACCTCACTAACACCACCACCACTAATACCAACAACACCACCATCACTATCACTAACACCAGTAACACCACCACTATCACCACTAATAACAACCACAATCACTAACACCACCATCACTAAAACTAACACCACCACCATCACAAGCACCACCCCCACTAATACCACCAACATTAACACCACCACTCCTCCCCCTGCCAGTATGGGACACCAAAGACAAATAAGGCTCAGCTAATCGAGTCTCTCACCTTTCTAAAGAGATGCCGCAACTCTAAGGTAATACCAATCGCATTTACACTAACCTCTGCTGCTGTAACTTCTTCTAATGCTAAACGAATTCTGTCTAGAACTAGCTTAGCTCTTATCTCAGAGAAAATCAGACTTACGCGCACCGAACTAGATCAGTTAGACAAGACACTCTACAAATCACACTTATCTTTGACTGCAACAATTTCCACATCGGATTGGGAACATGTAGACAATATGACTGCCTCTTCAGCTGCCGCTATGTCGACCAAATGTAAGGACAACTTGATTTCCAAATTCAACCGCCTTTCAAATAAGAGACCGGACCCACACACTGAAAAGCTAGACGTTAACAAAGTCGTAATTATTCGCTAATCCTGCATAATATTACTTTGAAACCCCCCGCCCACCTCCTACGCATTTCACAAATGGTACTAATCACATACCTGCATTTCCCATAAATATGCTAAATTCCTCTTGATATGAAAATTATTTTGTCAAGGCGCCCTTCCCCCCTTCCAACCCAGCTTAAATATACGCTCCAAGCGTGGTGGTGTTTCATTCAGACGCTGTCTCCCCGACAGACCTGGTCTTCACCTGAGGACGGCTGCTTGCGTTGTGGCCGAAACGTCGTGAGAATTATCTTCTTATGTTTTATTTTTATTATTTTATTATTTCCATTCTACGTGACTTTACCGAAAGAACCAAGAAGATGAATCCCTGCAGTCACGAAAGCTTTAAATCGAAATAAAAACAAAGATCCCCATAGAGACTTAACAGTCTGTAGGGGAAAGTGCTGTTAGCCAGCAGTACGTATGAAGGCTGGTACGACACACGAGGGGGTTGGATTGCCAGCACCACGCCCGGCCGCCTTTGTCTCCCTAGTGGCGATCTTTACACACCGCACCAGGTACTCATTCGAGGTTGAGTCGACCTAGGGGAGGCCCTACACCGGTTCAGATAATCGTCACTGCTGTTGGCCTTGAGAGAGAATCCACCTCGGGGTCTCCCAGTTAATAGCGCGGCGCGCTGTCAGCTACACGACCGTTCCACACACACAGACTCACACAGATAGTCTCACACACACAGACTCACACAGATAGGCTCACACACACACAGACTCACACAGAGAGACTCACACAGAGAGACTCACATACACAGACTCACATAGAGAGACTAACACCACCACCACCACTCGCCCACAGCTCGGTTCAACGCCTCACCTGCTCTGGGGTCTGTCGGCGCCTCTCTAACGGGCAAACTGCCAGTGGGAAGCACGTGGCGCGAGACGCGGGGGCGGTACAAGTTAACCACGCCCCCCCCCCGTGATGTCACAGCCATTAGCTCCTCCCCCCCCCACCTGAGCTCCTCCCCCCCACCTGAGCTCCTCCCCCCATGCCTGTTCTGCCCCCCACCCGAGACCCCCCATGCCCCCCTCAATACCCCCACCATGACCGTTCCACACAGACAGACTCACACACACAGACTCACACGGAGAGACTCACATACAGAGACTCACACAGCCACCACTCACCCACAGCTCGGTTCCACTCCTGCAGGAGACCGACTCAGTGTAGTCCCAGGGCTTGCGAGCTGGTTTTCAGTCTTCAACGGCACTTCTGCTCCAACGACTGCCTCGAGCTCTCACACGCACTGCCTTATATAGCCAACTGCCCCCCGAGGGGCGGGGCTGTATGCGGACGTTGATGTAGACCCCCCACGCACGGACCGTGATGTAGACACCGCAACGTAATGGCTTGCTACACACCGGTATGTAACACCTCTACATCTCGATTTAAAGCTTTCGTGACTGCAGGGATTCATCTTCTTGGTTCTTTCGGTAAAGTCACGTAGAAGGGTATTAATAAAATAATAAAAATAAAGCATAATAAAATAATTCTCACCTTCCATGTCCCCTCCCCCCCTCGCTACCAGCCCCTCGCACCCATCCAGAACTCCCCGTGGCCACTGGTGGCTGCGGGCGACGTGAGGTGGTTCACAGCTGGTCAGGGTTTGCGCGCCCCCCCCCAAAATGGCATCTCTCACAACCACCGCTGCATTATCAACCGTCACCATTCGCCAATAAGTAACAGTGACGTCACCACAGCGACTGTGCCAGGCCAGGTGCACTTTGAAGCCACGTGAAGTGTCGAAGGCTCGCTGACCGGAGGTCCTGGAACAGACCCAGGTGCCATGGGTTGGCTGACTGAGATGACTGGCAGCACCACCTGTACTGTGCCAAATTGCTGCATATTTATCATCCGGTGTTCCGCTCGTTGTTGTGAGCGTCACTCCTCCGTTGTTGTTGGAGGGCGAGTGTCGCCAACTGCCAAGTAGAAGTGTGAGGGTCGCTGGCCCCCGAGATCCCTCCCTATGTACCGCTAACGGCCGGGTTAACCTCATTATTAACCTCATTACTCGCCCCCTCGCTACTAGGCGAACCGCTGTTGGGTTCTTCACCCATGGGGTGAGAGCCGTCGCTCGAGGATTCCCCTCCCCCGCGGGTCCGCGTAATAGGCATGGTTAATTACGTACGCGCACACCCACACACAGCTCTGCGCGGCACTCACTCAATACAGACCACTCACGTTAGGATCGCGCACCTGTATTATACACGTAGTGAACGTGCGCGCACACACGCATACAGCTCCACACGCGATACCCACTCTTGCGCCGCTCTGCGCAGCGCTCGCCGCCTGCTGGCCGCTCACGTTATGATCGCGCACCTGGGGTACGCCGATTACGCACGCCGCGAGCTTACGCATACACCGTACCACACGCGTTCACACTTATAACACGAGATCACACGAGGCCACGATCAGCTATTAATGATTTATTATCCGCTACCTGGAACTAGATGTTAAATCAGTGAGTCGACGAGGCTGGCCTACGCTGATACCTCTATACCTATTCCCGATTTATCTGCTATGATTCTTATTCACCTTCTTACTCACTTTTAAGTGTCCACGGCGGTCCGCTGATCCTTGTGCTAACCGCGTGCCCCGGTCCGTCGCACGGACGTCCGGGTCGCTGGCTGGAGCTGCGTCTGGTCGCCTGGCGCTGGAGTCAGAGAGCGATTTCCCCTTTGCGCTCCCCATTTATCCTGATTCCCGGACCCCTACCCCCTTCCCACGCACCGTGCGCCTTCGCTATGCTAATTAATCCTTTGTCCGCGCGGCGTGAACTCCAAACAATGGCACGTGCCCCCCTCGCCCGGGCCAGGCAGCTCCGCGGTGCCTTTGTTCCGCTAATCAATGAGCGACCTGCACGGCGCAAATTCCAATCAATCCTTTTCTCACGCAGGCCCCCATCATCGAGGTTCATGCGGCGGTGTCCATCACAAAGGCCCGTCGTGGGAAGCTGTGCATGGCTCCTCGCGCGCCTCCCCTCTCCCGATTATTTATACTAATAGCCTTATCCTTTAACTCCCCTAACAATGGTGCCTGCGTACCCGAGCGTAATTATGCCGTCCCTCCGCTGCCGGTGCGGGGGTGCCTGATTATGCAGTTCAGATGCGCTGCGTGTTTTCTAATGATGCTCCTCCATCACAATGCTTATTCCCTCTGCCTGCCCCGTCGATACTGGCGTGTGTGGGGGGAAATGCGCCTCAACCGCGGTGGCCGAATGCCCCACGCCGCGACCACACCATATTAAGGCCGGTCGCAGCGCCGCGGCGCAACGTAGCACGGGGGAGGTCATCCAATTTCCTGATCGCCGGAAACCGTGAGAGTTGATCCCGATAAGGGTTTCTCGGATAAAAACCGTTCGGCCAGGCGACCTCCCCTCGGAGCTCTATAGGGGGGGGGGAAATGAGTGCGGGTGTGTTCATGTGAGGTGAGGTGAGGGAGACGAGGGGTCGGCTCCGTTGCTTGGTGGTGGCGAGGTCGGGGATTTGGCGCCTGCCGAACGGCTTCGCGGCGGCGGCATCACAGAAGCATCCTTCACGAGCCTCCCTGCAGAGGCCGATCTCGACACCGCTGGTACCAGTCGTCGGCAAAGCCCACTCAGCTCCACATCCTCCCGTACCGCATCAGTCCACCACCACTCCCGCCCATGCCGTGCCCGCCCAGCTCCCTCCATCCACCCCACATACTCACTTACCGGCTTACTCACGCACTCACCCACTCGTCTGCTAACGCACCCACGCATGAAATTGTAAATGCAGGCTACGCAAAGCATCGGGATCAATTTACACCAAAATCTACTCTCAACCACTTAAACCACATATTCGTAAATGATGCGCACCCTAATCAGCCACTATGGCTGCGTGCAGGGTGTTGTGATGTCACGTAGTACGACGTTTTTCTTGCTCCCCCCTCCCCACCCCGTTTTAACGCGTTGTCTATCTATGGCCTCGTCACATTGGCCTTAATAGACGCGTGGTGATGGTGAAAGATGATTCGGCGGTGGACACTGAATTACCGGAGCCCCATTTAACATTCAGGTGACACGGGGCACGGTACGTGAAGAACCTCTTATGTCCTGTAAACAGACTTCTCTGCGTGGGATAGT